GTCCCCCCTATGTCTCTGGCTTTCCAGTGCTGCACAGCTCGAAGCAGGGGAGGCTGTGGTCCATTTTCCTGGGGGAATAGCATGCGGACTCTGCAGCCAACCTCAGTTTGAAAGGGAAAAATTAATAGCATCCATTTCTTCTCGATTACCATCTATTCTAAACGTTCTCTAAGCAGAGAAAACTGCCGAGTCACTGGCAAAGGAAATGAACCCCATTTCTCTGTGGAATGAATCAGTCTGCCAGGTCAGCTGAAGCCTGACAGGTGTGCAGGTCACCGAAGCGTTAAGGGACAGCTGAGATTCCCAGGCTTCCCAACGTACAGGGCGCGGACGGCGGGTGGAGGTGCCACTGCCCTCCTAGTTGCTAGGACATCTTCTTGCATAGACTGGGCTTGTGGGGAGCCAGGACTAACCGAGGCAGCTAATATACAGGTGTGGATCCTGGGTTGAAAACAATCAAAACATCGGGCCCTCACATGTGAAGGCAGTTCTGCCAGGGACACAGACGAGGCAGCTCTTGGGACAGACGAAGGGAGGGGGCAAGCCAGGCTCCCAGCCTCACCAGCATTGGGATGGGAGCAGTGGGCCCTGGGAAGGATCACGTGCAGCCTGCTGCCGTCCTGTGGCCCCCGAGCACGTGTCACGTGTGCAGCCACTGGGACTCCGTTAGAGAAAGAAGAGTCCATGCACATTCCTCCACGGGGAGCGAAAGCAGCTCCCTTCCCAGGAAAGCCGGCAAGCAGGGAGGTAATGCAGTGAGCTCCCAGCGGATGCTTCGTGACTGTTTGGAAAATAGGAACAAAATGCAATAAGCAAGTGTGAGTCGACACACGCAGGCGCCCCGGAAGGTATACAGTCAGCCCTGGGAAGGAAATGTGACCCTCCCCTCCACCGGAGGCCTGGAGCTTGGAGGGCTGTAGGTCAGACTGCACCTAAATGCAAAGAGAAATCAAATCAAAGCCCGAGAAAGTCCTGAGTGACCCGGCTGATGGGAGGAAGAAGGAAGCCTAGTAGCTACATAATACCAAAGGGCAGGAAGCTGGTAAAGGGCGGGGCTGAGAGCGGAGGGAGGGCTGCTCTGACCCGTGAGCTTTGGCTGATGGGGAAGCCAGCTGGCCTGCATATCAGCTATTGATGGAGAGAGAGCGTCTCTTCCTAACTGGGTGAGGAAGCACAGCCTGCCTCCGACACCCCCTGGGGCCCATCACCCGTCGTCGCCGGCTCCTCTGTCTCCCTTCAGACAAGTTCAAGGCTCGTGAAGAGCTAGTGAGGCAGTCATTTCAGAGGGGAGAGGCAGGAGGAGCCAGGGAAACTGGGCTTTGAAAAGTGCTCCCAAGGGCGATGCCTGGGGTTCCAAGCTGGTCTCTTGGGGGCTGAATGACACTCTCCACAGCCTCTCAGATAGAAACGGGGAGACTCCTGAGGAGATGATATAAAAGGTGGCGGTGGGGGCAGAGCACAGACATGTGTTAAAGCTGCAGCGCTGTACCTGACGCTGAGTGACAGCAGGTGTGAGTGTGTGTCTGCCCTACAAACCCTGAGCGGAGCCACATGTGAGCCCCCAGCTGGGGATGTCTGAAAACGGCAAATCTGACACACAGGCCCGGCAAGGTCTGTGCTCCCCTGCTCGGGAACCAATTGCCGGCTCTTCCTGAAACTCACCAAACACTTCCGCTAAAGAGCCGGAGGAGATGAAGGTGCCGCCTGTCACCGGCCGCCCTCCCCTCCGCCTCGGCCTCACTAAGGCTTCGCTCAGGGCTCTGGCAGAATCAACAGGAAAACAATCAGAATTTAAACTGTCGCGCCTCCGAAGGTAATTGAGGAGTGGGCCGGTCGGGAGCCCTCCCTGGGGCGGGCCAGATGTGGCCCTGCGCTGTCCTCCAGGCAGCTGTGCTCAGTCCCCTGGTCAGAGAGGCCACTGAAGGCGCCCCGCCCGTAGCAGGCTCAGCTGCCTCTGCAGGCTGCGTGGCTGCACCCGCTCTGGGCTGCATGCCTGGCAGGGCCAGGGTGCCGCCTCTCCCCTCTGCCTTCCTTCTGAGCTGGAAGCTGCATGCTCGGGCTCCTCCTCCTGCCCAGGAATACTGAGCACACAGCAAGCGCCCCCTGT